AATTTTGTTAAACTGGATGACTTGAAAAACTAAAATGTTTCCAGTAGAAACATGGTAACTTCATTTTTGTTTACCTTCTTTGTATTAAATAAATACTTGATTGGTGATATAAAACATGTGGGAAAATGTGTCAGCATTGCATATTAGCAATAAAACTGACCAATACTGAGCAACCCTATATGAAAAAGGATTTAAATCTATAAGAAAGACTCAAGTTTATTTTTGAGAAAATATGAGAATGTTTTGAAATATAGTATTTCATAAAAGCAGATGACACAATTAGTTTATGACCTAAAAACGTAAATATGAAATTGTGAACTGTGTATTCCATTCCTGTGTTACATTTTGTTGTATAATGTCAACATGTATTTTAATATTTAAAGTCTATGGTATTGTCCTGTAGGCCTATTTATTGTTGTTGATGATTGTTTGAGGTTGCTGTTTGTATGTATGTGTTTAATCAATAAATTAAAATTAAAATAGCATGTTTGACTTTTTATCTAATTTTCTGGTGGTTTCAAGAGTATAAGCTGTGATAATGTTGTTGTAAAATAAATGTAAAGGTATTTACTTAAGGACTAAAAGAGCGACCCTATCGGCTGGCCCCCTCTGCAGGGTCTGGGGGCAAAGTTCTGAGACAGGGGCACCCCTGCATCGCACAGTGACTGAAGTGGTGGAAATGAGAAAATATATATAGAAAGAAAGAGGGGAAGGAAAAAAAGGAGGAAAATAAATAAAAATAAATAAAAATAAAAATAGAATGAAAGAAGGAAAAAAGGAATAAGAGGAAAAAGAGGAAAGAAAAAAAGAAAATGCAAGCATACACTTGAATTACACACACACACACAAGCAGGGCCCTTCAACACCTTTAATATACAAAATAGCTAAACGTTATTATTACTCCCTGCCTGTTTTGTCTCTGTCTATGCTGTGCATTGTATCGTCGTGTCTCCCCTGTCTCCTACATACTACTTGCTCTTGTCATGTCCCTCACCCGTCTTGTATTGTTCTGCATCACCTAATAAAAAAATAAAATAAAATAAAAGGACTAAAGGAGATTTTTCAGGTAGAAAGTGTTTACTGTACCAGAAGCTGGTGCTCATCTGATGCTCTTGGTCGGATTACAGGAATGTCCCGTTTCCTTCTGTGCAACACTTTGCCTGAATCCATTTGTAAATGTCAGAGAAACTTCGAGAAAACGTCTTTAACTTCTCACTCCAGCGGTAAACTTAAACATTATCCGCCTCCAGGTGTTTGGGCTTCAGTCTGTCTGACGTGGAAACCAGTCGCTCGAATATATTTTATAAAAAAATAAATAATAATATTTTTTGTATGCGAATAACACCAGCTAACCTAAAAAGAAAATTAACCTAAAACCACTGGTGTCTTCTTTTAACGAAAAAAAAAATCATCTCGAATAAACGCCAAACATCTCCCTTCCTCTCTTCCCTTTTATGCAGACCCAAGTTTCACAGCGTTTACTACCGTTGCCTTGGTGACCAAGTAGTAACGGCAAGCAGCGGAGTTCAAAACTCATCGCCAAAAAAAAAAAAAAAAAGGGAACGCCCATTTCTTCTTCTTTAAACCGGAAGTGGTATTCTCGCAACACACAGCGCATTGATTCCCCCCCCGCCCCCCACAACAATAAGCGGGTTAGACACGTATAACAACAACAAAACGTCAAAGAAACTAAATAAAGCTAAATTAATCCCGGGGTTTTAGCAGTCGGTCATGCTGTCGGATGCAGGTGAGTCTTCGTAACACGCTGCTCATGCTTGCTAAATGCTAAAGTGTGGCTGGTTTAAAGAGCTTTTCAATGTGTCTATTTGTCATCCGCGTTTCTGTTTTTACATGTGAATAACGTGCTGTTTCATTGGCTTTGACCAATTTCTAACGCGTTCTGTAAACATCATGTATATCAGTCACAACAAAGGCCCCATTTAAACTGAGCAGAAATGCATTTTCCACTGTTGTTGTTGTTGTTGTTGTTGTTGCTGTGTTCAGATTACTCTGGGAATGCCTCTGGTGCTCGCCGGGCGAAGAAGAGGAGCTCCGGGGAGTCTCCGGGGGACGGACAGACCCTGCGCTCCTCGGGAAGGCAGATCACCGTCCGAGTGAAGCGCACCAACAACCCTCCTCCTGGACAGGTGACCCGCAGCGTTCACCTTTAACCTCTGTGTGTCTCCCTGCTGAATGTAGCAGTGACGGTGTCTTTATAATCCTCAGACTGTATCTCCTACAGAATCCCCCCCCCCTATGGTTCTACACTTTCCATCAAATGTAATGACAGTATATCAGCTGCTCCCCCCCCCCCAAAAAAAAATATTGCACATCTTCACTTGTGACCTTTGTTGTGCAGAATTTGCTCAAAGGAACTCTGACAATAAAGTGCATGGGGGATTGTTGATGTTAAAAAGGCCAGCTCCTCTTGGACTGTTCCAAAAAAACCCTCTAGCTGTGGTAGTTTCGGGCTCCGTAGTGTTCGAAAGAGAGAGACCGGAGAGTTTACAGTTTAAGTTGTGTGCGTCCATTGATAATAAACCACACACGCATACACAAACATGAAGAGAGATACATTCACACATTCATGCAAATGTGCATGAACACCTTGTCAAGCAGCAAGTTCAATAAAACGTTCTTAAGTGGAACCTTGTGACTCCTTGCGTGATTTAACCAGTCACACTCAGTGGTGGTTGGATTTTTTTTCCGGGAACCCAAGTTTTGAGAGAAGCCTCAGTCAGCTGTTTTTGTCTTTTAGTTGATGACCTTCTCTTCCAGAGCAAACGGAAAGCCACGGACACGGAGGAAGAAGACGACCAGTCCGAGAAGAAGTACAGAAAGTGTGAGAAGGCTGGATGCTCTGCCACATACCCGGTTTGTTTCGCAAGTGCATCTGAAAGGTAATGTGAATCTTTGTCATTTGTGATTTATTTCAAGGGTAGATCCTTGAGATGCATCGTCTCATTTTCATGGGGGTCCTTGCGAAACATAAATTAATCATCATAATACAAAATCAAAATAAAAGGTGAATCCAAAACATAATACCAAACATTTAAACACAGAGACACACACACACACACACACACACACACACACTCACACTTTGTAGATTGAAACGTGCTTAAATAGAACTGCCCTTCGATGTGCACTCACAGGTTTTCTCTAACTAGATGTGATTGCCGTTAACACCAGCTCTTATGTGTTCTCCCAGATGTGCTAAAAACGGATACACGTCTCGCTGGTATCATCTGTCATGTGGGGAGCATTTTTGCAACGAATGTTTTGATCACTACTACAGAAGGTAATGTTGACAGAACAACAACTCAGAGTTCTTTCTTTTCACTGAATATGAATAAACATAAATATGCTTCTGTATCTTATTAACTATTAAATTAAGGACATAAAATCCCCCTTTTTTTTTCTTTTCTTCCATTGGCAGTCACAAAGATGGCTATGAGACTTTTGCTTTTTGGAAGAAAGTGTGGACTAGTAACGGGAAAAGTGAGCCCAGTCTCAAAGCTTTCATGGCAGATCAGCAGCTACCATTCTGGGTAAATGCAGAACTTCTTTTCTTTGTGCCTTTTAAACAACTGAAGGTCACATGTTTAAGTTCTCCCTCTTACAAATACAGATATGTTTCTTTCTTCTCTCGACCCTTTCAGGTTCAATGCACAAGACCGGACTGTAGGAAGTGGCGACAGCTGACTAAAGAGATCCAGCTCACTGCTTCCCTAGCAGAGACGTACCGCTGTGGCATGAAGTTCAACAACATCAAGGTAACAGGAAAGAGGATTTACAGTCGACTTATTTTATTGTTTATGTGCCTATAATGATCTTTCTTTCTTCCTGCAGAGTGAGGGACCGGACCAGTGCTCCCAGCCAGAGGACTTGGTAAGATGTTGCTGTGTGTTAGATTATTTACTTTTGGATTCAAGCAGTTTCATATATGAAATTGATTTGTCACACTTGCTGATGGTCTTTCCCGTTTTGTTGAATTCTGACAGAGAGTGGCAGAGGTGACCGACAGCTGGTGGCATTCGATGTTGATTTTGCCGCCGTTGTTCAAAGACAGTCCAGCGAGCCCTTTCCTTGCTGCGTACTACCCTGACTGTGTGGGGATGAGTCCAGCAGGCTCCTCCAGTAGCGTGTCTCTGTCTGAGCTCAGGGCCGATCACTGCAGAGCCGTCCAGCCTCAGAGTGAGTCTTTGACTATTAGATGAGCTCCCCTTTAGAAGTATCAGTCTAAACCACATTGTAATGATCTCCGTTATGTCCCTCAGTTCCAGGCCTGTGTCCGTACTTTCAGCCATTCTACCAGCCGAACGAGTGTGGAAAGGCTCTGTGCGTGCGGCCAGATATGATGGAGCTGGACGAGCTTTATGAGTTTCCAGAATTTTCCCGTGATCCCACCATGTATTTGGCTTTGCGTAACCTCATACTGGCCTCCTGGCACAAGAGCTGCAAGGTGCACAGCATACATCCTCTTAAAGTGTCTTACATTGCATGTGTTTCACCTTTTAAGTTTTTGAACGGAAATAGACATTTGTGGTTGAATAACATGAAAGCAACAAGATACTGATTTGTTTCTGTTGTTTTCTTTTGTTTGTTTTCCTAAAGGAGGTGCTGACTTCCCAGAAATGTGCTGAGAACATCATTGTGCGGGGTTTGGTGCGTGTGCGCTGCGTGCAGGAGATGGACCGTGTGCTGCACTTCATGACCAGGAAAGGTCTCATAAACACCGGTGTGCTGGCAGTGAAACGGCCTCTGCTCCCTGAAAAATACTGCTCAGTGAGTGTCCTTATTGTCACTCTATCGTCAAACTAAAGAACACATTGCAAACACTATTTAAAGCTGCGGTAGTCTCACATTTGATTGTTTTTTTTTTGCAGAGAAATGTTATTATCATCGGTGCCGGGGCGTCAGGTCTGGCTGCTGCGCGTCAGCTGCAAAACTTTGGCACTCAGGTAAAATGTTCTGTCGCACATTTTCTACCCAGTTTTCTTGTAACAGCGCTGTGCCTTCACACTCCTCGTTATCCTCGGGTCTACAGGTGATGGTGCTTGAAGCGAGGGAGAGAATTGGAGGTCGCGTGTGGGATGATGCCTCTCTGGGCGTCACTGTCGGCAGAGGAGCTCAGATTGTCAACGGCTGTGTGAACAACCCCATCGGCCTGATGTGTGAACAGGTAGGAGGAGTATGAGGAGCTTGAAAAGTCAGTTGTAAATTGAGCCTGATCTTAACTCTGTGTTTTGATCTTCCATCCACTTGTGGCTCTTCTGTTGCAGATTGGAATCAAAATGCACAAGCTGGGAGAGCGCTGTGACCTCTTCCAGGAGGGGGGGCAGGCTACTGACCCAGCCATCGACAAGCGCATGGACTTCCACTTCAATGCCATCCTGGACGTCGTGTCAGAGTGGAGGAAGGACAAGTCGCAGAACCAGGACACACCGCTGAAAGGTGCTGAACTGTTATTTTAAAACATCACGTAAAGTTTGAATGTGAAGTCGGAGGTTAAACCAATTTAACAAAGAAAAACAACCAGTTTATACCTCTTGTTATCAGACAATTAGTTTATATGTGCTTACACTGAGTACATATATTGGGACAAATAAAGACTTTTGCAGAAAGAAGACTTGTGTTGAAGCAGCAGAACACAGTTTGTGTTTGGCGTTGAGGCTCCGACATCATACCTCCTCGCAGTTTATTTTACATGCAGAAATCTGAGGAGTGATGAGATGATATCTTAAAACCCCCGTCGGAGCCTACAGGTGGAGGCTGGGGGGGTGTTGGGGATGAGCAATGAGCTGCAGGTCAGAGCTGGCAATGAAAGAGCGGAGGGAGAGACCGGAAATCTTTCAGCTGAAATAGAAACCCAATATCAATCATCAATCAATCAAACTTTTCATACAGTGATGTAGTACAAAGTGCTTTACAGAAACATAAATCAAGCAGCAACAACTTGACTCCCCCTCTCCCCCAACCAGTGCAGCTCGAGGTGTCTGCCTGAAGTAGCTCGCAGACATCGCCTCGCTCATTGTTGGGAAAACTCTTCTTTGTTTTGCTGCATGATGTCTCTGACAACGTTTCCATCTTTTTAACAATGACAGCAGCTACGCACATGAATGGATTTTACTTTACTACACATAATTAAAAGTTGTGCTGACAAAAAAAAACTCTGTATCCAACCTTTATTTTTATATTAAAAAAACAAACAAATAAGATCTGAGTTTGGTTGGTGTTGTGACATATTTGACCTCGGACTTGTGTGCACTGACTCTCTCCAGAAAAAGTCCAGGAGGTGAAGAAGAACTTTCTGCAGGATTCAGGAATGCAGTTCAGTGATTTGGAGGAGAAAGTGCTTCAGTTTCATCTCAGCAACCTGGAGTACGCCTGTGGGAGCACGTTAGACCAGGTATGAACAACCTGAACTGTAAAGAGCTGCGAGAATCTCAGTCGCATCCAATTTTATTTTAGTCTGAAAAATAAACGATTCTGAGGTATCTATTTCCCTCAGCATGTTCTGTGTTTTAATGAAGATGGCTGCTTCACTGTTAGAAATACATTTTACTTTCAAATCAACCATCGTATCTTCTCTGAAAACGTTCTATAATAGCATGAAGGGTTTTACGGAATGGCTCAATTTAACTTTCGACTTCTTGATCAAGCTATAGTATTCCATGTGTCTTTGTATTTGAGGTTTTGAGTTATTGTGTTGGAATCCCTGTCTTTGTCCAACCTATTAGAAAATATTCAAATTGTGTGGATTCTGATTTTATTTCTTCAAGAGAATGATGAAGAAAATGTTCTGAAATATAGTTTTTTCTTTGTTTTTTAGGTATCGGCAAGATCCTGGGACCACAATGAGTTTTTTGCCCAGTTCTCAGGAGACCACACTTTACTCACAAAGGGCTACTCCGTTTTACTCCACAAGCTGGGCGAGGGGCTCGACATCCGCACAAAATGCCCGGTTTGTCTTTGAACTTAATTCAGTCCTTTCACTAATTTCAGCTGTCACTTTGACCTTTCTGAAACCGGGTTGCATACTGCATTGTTAAAAATCACCAGGTTTCCTTTTTTTGTTTTAAATTCCAGGTCCAGGCGATTGATTACTCAGGTGATGTTGTCAAAGTTACCTCCTCCAATGGCTCTCAGTGGACAGCACACAAGGTGAGAACATGTCAGTTAGAAAAGTGTTGTTTCAGAAAAACGTTTGCTGTAGTCCCTGCTGCTTCTCATGATGTCGTAATGTAGAATTTGAACATCCTTACCCTCTGTCAGGTTCTTGTCACAGTCCCGTTGACCTTACTACAAAAGAACCTGATCCAGTTCAACCCTCCGCTTCCTGAAAGGAAACTGAAAGCGATCCACAGTCTGGGAGCCGGTATCATAGAAAAGGTCATAACAGGTTTCTTTTATTCATTGTAGGTCACCAGGACGTGCCTCTCTGTGAGTGTTAACATATATTTTCCTTTACTTCTTACAGATCGCTCTTCAGTTCCCGTACAGATTCTGGGATAAGAAAATCCAGGGGGCAGACTACTTTGGTCACATACCTCCAGGTCCTGAGAAGAGGGGCATGTTCAGTGTCTTCTACGACATGGATCCACAGGTTTGATTTTTTCCCATTTGGGACCCCCTTGAAAACGAGGTGATACACCTCAAGGGGCTTATCCTGATGTAATACATTTCTCACATTTCTATCCATACAGTAATATCATACATTAGCACTCAAAAAAATCTTAGAATCAGACACTGTCCAGTCAGAAATTCTACCTCTGTTTTTATTTGGGAAAACAGGTTTGGCCTACTCGTGTACAACAGGAACGCCAATCACAGAAACAATGTCTGTTACTTAAAATCAGTAAACAGCAAGAACCTGAAAGATCATTTAATCTAAAACGCAGGGCTGTCAGCATTAACTAGTTAATCATGATTCATTTAGTTCTGAAATTTATTCCTAATGGGTTTTTTTATCGCGATTAATCTTATGCTATTTTGTCCCTTTAGGCTCCCCATACATAGTCGTCCTCAGTGTCTCCCTGTAGTCACAGTGATGTAGAACAAGGACACTGCTGCGTCTTTGAACGTCTTATTTCACTTTAACAGACTCTCAGTCCAAAGTAATATCCGCCTTATGACATCACACATTTGTTGCCGTTCCTTTGAGCTGTTTGAAGTCAGTTTGTGATCCATAACCACTTCCTGTTTCTGTGCTTAACTTCATGTCGTGCACTTCGATCTAGCAGAAGGTCCTTACTTCATTTCAAAATAAAAGAAGGGACGCATTCAAACAGCAAGTAAAGTACTCTCAGCTTATGACAGTAAAAAAAACTTCAAAATAAAAGCCTAACAACTATTTTTTTTTAAATGCCAAATTCAAAAATTGCGATTCAAAATACAATTAAATGCGATTTAAGAATGTGTTTGTTTGACAGCTCAAATAAAAATAGTTAATTTATTGAATGAATGTGTATGAAGCCTTCTTTGAATATGTGTGTATGTGTTTTGTAGGGTAAGCAGGCTGTCCTCATGTCTGTTATCACTGGTGATGCTGTTCAAACTGTCCGGGACCTGGAGGACAAGGAGGTGGTGGACGAGTGTGTCAAGGTCCTGCGCGAGCTTTTCAAAGAACAGGTAACGTATTAAGTGTTCAAGATAAACTTTCACCCTGGTTGTCTGATTTTTGAAACCCAGCTAAAGTCTTGAAGTTCCTACTAAGCGTCTTGCTTCAAATAACAAAGAACTGTGATCTCTCTTTGACTGGCCTCATAATTCATGGCACCTAGGGTGCAAACGTCCTCACTCTTCTTGTTTTGTGTGCTCCTCATTACTGTTGCTGAATCTTGCTGTGTGTCATTCTTGATAGGAGGTTCCAGAGCCGCTGCATTACTTGGTCACACATTGGAGCAAAGACAAGTGGTCGCAGATGTCCTACAGCTTTGTGAAAAACAGGAGAAGTGGAGAGCCTACGACATCCTCGCTGAAGACGTGCAGGGGGAAAGTTCTTTGCTGGCGAGGTAACGTGTGATCGCAACGTGTCTGCTAACATTTATTACAGGGGTAATGTGAGTTCGACTGATTATCTTTATTAAACTAGTATGTCTTTGGATATTCCTGTACTTAATTTCCGTACTTAAAGGTCACGCTATATGCAAAATACTCTCCACCATATTTTGTAACACTAATATGTGTCTCTAGTCTGTCTAAAAAAACTCCCCAATTATGAGAAAAGTCCATCCTCTTCGTCTTTGCCTGCTGCACTTTTCAGAAAATGTGTGCTCAAACAGGCCGTTTGGAGATTTCCCTTCATGACATCACAAAGGGCAGTAACCCTCCCCACGTGGTGACACTCCCACAGCTAGGTGTTTGTTCTGCCCTCTGAGTCTGCCTTCTCACCGTAAACAATAGGACAGGGAGCGAGAAAGCCCGAGCCGA